CAACATTGTACCGTATAGCCACCTTTATATCAACAATGTATCTCTTAAATCATCTGTGCCATATTATTGTAATAAAAATATTCCTATTGGTAAAAAAAAAAATAGTTTAAAGATGGGGTGGTAGGGAAGTGGAATATTCAAATGGCTTTCAGAAGAAATCCAAATATTCTTCCTTGAAGCCTTTTTATATCCACTTCTCCGAGGCTATGGGTCCCACATTTACACCAGAGGTGGACCCCAAATAAAAAAAAAAAAAAAAAAATATATATATATATATAAATATATATATATATATATATATATATATATATATATTATATATATATATATATATATATATAATATATACATATATACAATATACATATATATACATATATATATATATATATATATATATATATATATTATATATAATATATATATATATATATATGATATAATATATTATATATTATATATATATATATATTAATATATGTATATATGTTATATTATATATATATATATATATATATATATATATATAAAATATATATATATATATATATATTTTATATAATATATATATATATATATTTTATATTATATATTCGAATAACAGCAAAAAACTGGCTACCACACGTTAGGTAAACTCTCCTGTTTTACCACATAATACAGGCAGACCTTCGCATAACGCGACAGTTATGTTCTTGAAATCAGTGCCTTATGTAAAATCACTCGTGTAATACATATACAGTGGACCCCCGCATAACGATCACCTCCGAATGCGACCAATTATGTAAGTGTATTTATGTAAGTGCATTTGTACGTGTATGTTTGGGGGTCTGAAATGGACTAATCTACTTCACAATATTCCTTATGGGAATAAATTCGGTCAGTACTGGCACCTGAACATACTTCTGGAGTGAAAAAATATCGTTAACCGGGGGTCCACTGTACAGTGGTCCCCCGCTTTTCGTAGTTCCCGGCAATCGTAAAATTCGCCAATCATAGAGGTATTTTTGTATAAACATGGACTCGCTTTTCATAGGTTGACTCGCGAGTCGTAGTTCGTCCGGGAAGCGTACCCACGACGTGAGCCAGGGCGGCAGCCAGTCTGGCATTGTTTACCAGTGAGCGAAGGTCCCCTCACGTGCTCCAGCGAAATATTTCATAATATTCCATTTATTTTAGTGCTTGCAAGTACTAAATAAGCTACCATGGCTCCAAAGAAAGCTCCTAGTGCCAAGCCTGTGGTAAAGAAGGTGAGAAATACGATTGAATTTAAGAAAACCATCAATGAACAATATGAAAGTGGTACAAGTGTGGCCGAACTGTCCAGGATGTATAAGAAACCCTACACAACCTTATGTTCCATAGTGGCCAAGAAAAATGAAATACGGAAAAAATATGTCATGAATTCCCGGGGAGTCTTGAGGCTGAAGAAACCGGGAAAAGTGTTCAATTGTGACAAACGGCCTTTGGAAGAAAATCCCAAAGAGGCCCTTTATTAAAAAGGAAAAGGGCAAATGCCAGGACCAAGCCCAAAAAAGAAGGCTGACGCTAATGTTCTTTGCTAAGCTGTGGGGTTTTCAAGTGAAGCCATTACTAGTGTCCATTTGAAAACCCAGAGTTTTTCAGGAAAAAACAATGTTATGAGAGTAAATTGTGTGTTTTTTGGAAATTTAATAGTAAGGCTGGGTCCGGGGAAATTTTCGTGAGGGGTTCAAGAAGTTTTTTGGCATAGTGTGAAGAAGTTTCCTGGAAAAGAAATGGATCTAAAAGTGCCTGCTGGGAAGGACAATGCCCCCTGTCCCCCTCCAAACTTGGATGACCTAATTTCGAGGAGTTTGGGTTTATCACAGTAAAAGTTTTTCCCCCCGGAATACCCACTTCCCCCCTAAAACCTGGACCACAGTTATTGCAAACTTTAAAAAACTTACACCCCCAAAAGGTGTTTCACGGTGTTTGACTGGACCACAGACACTCACTTGACCCAAAGGGGAATTTTGGAGGAACATTTCAGCCCCCCCTGCAAAACCCCTTATAGGTATGGCTTGGGGGGAGTGCTACCGGGATTTGAATCTGCCGGGAGAAAATTGTCCCCAGATTGTGTCAACAAGAGGGATTTTGAAGAATTTGGGACTGACCCTAATGAGCCTATGTCTTTGAAAAAATATTTGTGGCCGGGGAGTTCCTGGGGTTGGATGTGAGTTTGGAGGATATGGAAGAATTGGGGGAAAAGCCCACAATAAAAGAGTACCACTGGGAGCCCCAGGCTTCGCGGAAAGAGCAACACATCGCACCCAAAATCTTGTGCAGAGGAGGAGGAAGAGAGAGGGAAGAAGGTCCCTTCTCAGAAATTAAAGAGTTTTTTTACTATGTAGGGAAGATGGAAAGTTTTAGGAGAAACATCCCCTAAAAAGGGTTTGTTGAAAAGCCAGGTTGGCAAATGACAGTGACAAAGTTTGGGCCATTTTAGGGAAGTGTTAAAGAGATGCAGAAAAAAGGCTCTCTCCACGTTATTTTGTGAGACAGGACTCCAGGACTCTCAAGGTGGTCCTAGTGGGGTTTGAAAAAGGAAGAAAGCAACCCCAGAAAAACAAATGGTACCTGAGGTGTTTTAGGAAGGGGTTTCCCCCTTTCCAAACTATAAACAAAACCCCTCTCTTCCTCCTCCCGTCTCCCCTACACTAAGAAGAATCTCCGTAAAGGAAGGGTTATGTGTTAATGTTTTTATTCATCATTTCCCTTGTATTGCTTATGTACTACATGCATATTTCATGTTAAAAAAATTTTTTGTTTTAATACTTCTGGGTGTCAGGAACGGATTAATTGTATTTACATTATTTCTTATGGGGAAAATTGATTCGTAAATCATAAATTTCGTTTATAGTAACGGCTCCAGGAATGGATTAATTACGAACAACGAGGAACCACTGTACATGAGAAATGGGGTTACGTACACAGTGCCTCCAGAAAAGCCATATAAAATTTTTTAAGTGTTCATGATACATTATAAATGTGGTTGCTTATTAACATAACACCACAATCTATCGTTGCCCACCAGCACTGTCACTGCCTACCAACATCACTTATGTTCAGTAATATTTCATATTGTAGCATCTACCATATCTGCAGTCTTCCAGCCCTATCACCTATGACCACCTACCAGCACTGACCATGTAATCACCATCTAACATCACCCTACATCATCACTTACGACCAGTAATATTCTGTATTGTAGCTGCTACACCACCACAACTTACCAGTCTCATTTCTTACAACCCCCTACCAGCGTTGTCACCACCTAACACCATTGCCGTTTTTTTTTTTTTCCTTTTTCAACAAACCAGCTGTATCCCACCGAGGCAGGGTGACCTAAAAAGAAAAATGAAAGTTTTCTTTTTAACCCTTTGAGGGTTTTCGTCGTACTAGTGCGTCTTACGCGTAGGGGTTTTTGACGTACTAGTACTCATAAATTCTAGCGGCCTCAAATCTAGTGGGAGAAAGCTGGTAGGCCTTCATATGAAAGAATGGGTCTTTGTGGTCAGTGTGCACAGTCTAAAAAAAATCCTGCAGCACACAGTGCATAATGAGAAAAAAAAAACTTTGACCATTTTTTTTTAATAAATCAGCGACTTTTCAGTGTATTTTCGTATGGTATTTATTGTTGTATTCTAGTTTTCTTGGTCTCATTTTATAGAATGGAAGACATATTACTGAAATTGAGATGATTTTGACTGGTTTTACAATGAAAGGTGCCTTGAAATTGAGCTCAAAGTTGCAGAAATGTTCGATTTTTACCAAACTTCAAAAGTAAACAAATCGTGCCAAGCGTGCAATACACGTCAACTGGTGAGTCTAATATTCTTTCACAAGTGCACCAATAATATTTATACCATTTTTTACACTAATGCAGTAGTCTGCATAACAGTAAATCTTATATTTTTTTGTGAGAATAAAAATTCAAAGTGGAAAGCAAAAGAATATAAGAGGGGCCTTGAGACGTGACTAATGACTAGAGGAAATGTCATTTTAGTGCCAGGAATGTCTTTCTTGTTTATTCTGGACCCTATTCGGAAATTGGCATCTTTTGAAATTTGTGTGAAATTGGCAAAATTGCTAAATTCTGACCACTGTACTGGATAGTTGAATTTATAAATGGGTGGTTTCTTGCACCCATTCGATAGAAAAAATGGAGTTCTAGCGAAATATTCATGTTTTTTGTCGACTAGTACAGTGAAATTGGCCGAAAATGGGGCTCAAAGTGGGCAAAATCGCCGATGCGTAAACATCGCCGAGACCGCTAACTTTGCGAGAGCATAATTCCGTGAGTTTTCTATCAAATTTCAAACTTTTGGTGTCTTTATGATCGGGAAAAGATTCTCTATCTTTTCATAAGAGAAAATAATTTTTTTTTTTTTTAAATTTGGCCGACCCTGAGAACGAGTTTCGGAGAGGGCCTGTCGACCCTCAAAGGGTTAAATTTAGTAATTTATACAGGAGAAGGGTTTACTAGCCTCTTGCTCCTGACATATTAGTCGCCTCTTACAACACTCATTGCTTACAGAGGAGGAATTTTTTTCCACTTCCTCATCTATCACCTCCTTACACCAGCCTTCACTATCACTTATAGCCAGTAATATTTCATATAGTAGCTGCTACCACCACTGACCTGTATTATCATGACTATCACCACCTAACACCTTGCACCATCACTTATTGCAGTAATACAGTATTTCATATTGTAGCAGCTACCACCTCCACAACCATTTGGGATTGAACCTGATTTCTATTTTTTCCAACTTTATGGTGCAGAGGGGAATTTTGTGAGCAGAAATCAACCCAATTTTTTTTTTCAACTTTAGTGACATTAAGCAAAGGCTGGAGCTGCATTCTAATAACTGGGATATAAATGTGTTAGCACCGTGACTTGGTGGGAATCAGCTCTTGAGTTAAAAGAAATAGTCCATTCAATACTTTATGTTGACTTTAATGTTAAAAAAAAATTTCAGATGGAGGGTACATAAACTGAGATGATGAGAAAGACGGCCAAATCTCGGTCTACTGAAAGCTCTGCTGCAGCCGAGCGTTTAGCTGACTACAAAGGAGATGTAAGTTTTGTCTAAAATTTATATGTATAATAATATGTTTAGGGTGGGAGGTTAATTACAATATAGTATTGGCATATTTGTCTGTGTGTGTATACATTACCTTGTCTGTTTAGCATGATTTCCAGATCTAATGATAAATTTATGAAATTTGTCTTTAAATTTTTTTGATGAGCTACAACATTTCCCCACTCAAACATACAGAAAAAATGTTCAAAATACCAAATAAGGAAATTTAAAATGTACTGTATTTACAAACCATTTTGCTATAATATAACTAAAGTGGGCTTAGAACCTCAAGTCAAATGAGATGTAACATATTGAAATACACAGACTAGGGAGAAAGTAAATAAACTACAGTAGATTGTAGATTCTCTGGCAGTTGCTTATTTGCAATGTTGGCACATGTGGGTAACCCACTTTTTCCCACCTTGGGTTCTTAAAGGAAGTCATATGAAAAACCCACCAAATTACTTGCACAGATGAGTTTATAAAAGGTTGCTATTTTTTTTTTAGTATTGGATAGCATTTGTGCAGAAAATGTTTAGGATTTCTAGTTGTTTAATTAATTTATAGTTACCAGTTTATTTTATCTATTTGGAAAATGAAAAATTCTGGTCAGTATCAATTCAGGTTTATATTATAGAACACAAAATTGTACATGGAAATTCTGCTCAGTTTCAATTCAATTTTATTTTATTGAGTAGAAAAATGTGACAAGTGTGAATATCAAAAACAATATTATTTTAAAATATTCATAAAATATTTATTAGTAAATAACAAATAATGGTATTGCACTAGTTACCCATTATCTTATAGCTAGTATAGAAGTCATTACCTATTCTATGATGCTATAATCTGTATGTAACTTGCTAACTACACCAGTTCTGAGTTATCCACGAGACAAGAAAATTACTTTATAAATAAAAAATCATACTGTAAATGGCTATGACATTCTGGCTAGGGACCTCAAGGTCCATAAACATTACAGTATGTATTTACTCTTCATAGATGCATCTGGGGTTGCCAAACACATGTGCATGTGTATTTTAACTAGCTTTGGAGCCTTATCAGCACCCATCCTGTTTCTTAATTTTGTGAAGACCAAGCCAAATATAGAGAATATTCTCTAATTGAATGCCAAACTTGGGGGACAACTAGGTAGATATTTAAAGTCTAGACAAAATTTAGGTAACTTTTTTTTTTGTGTGTGTGATTTTCCAGAAGTCACCACCATTTTGCAGGTTTTTCATTGTAAAAGGCAAGAACTTGAGGTAGAAACATAGAGGTGGAAAATATTTAATTCCTTTAATCCTGAGAGGCTATGAAATGTGGGAGAAACTCAAGTTTATGAGCTGTTAGTCACTTCTGCATCTTCTTGCTCACCATCTGGTTTGGTATCTGCTTAAGTAAACACAAGAATAGAGAACATCATCAGCCTGGGGAGAAAGTAATTGCATTTTTATTCATCCTCAGTTAGACATTATAGCAGCTGAATAAAGTACTGTACTGGAGATAATGAATCTGTATGTCTCTAACACTTAATGGTAACTTTTTTAACATAAAAAATTGGGCAAGATACAACTACTGGTACATCTCTGCTCATGTATAAAAAAAATTAAAATAGAGGGACTTGTCAGGTTGGGAACATAGAAGGATGGCTGTTTCTTCATCCATTCATAACATGTTTGGTCTGTAAGGTTTTAGTGCTTCTCTTTGAAGTAGACTTACAAACGTCAGTTGCAGTGTATAATGTGCTGAATCACTTTCAAGCTGTAATGAAAAAAAAAGAAAATATTACTGGTAAATCATGGAATGAGGAGTAGTTTTGTTGAACTATCCCTTTGAGGAGAAGGGTGAAGGAAGAGAAGTTTGACTAGCTGTAGTTCATTAGGATTTGTTTAATGCTTTGTGTATTATTTATTTGCTTTCATATCTTAAAAATCAATGTAAACTTATGTCATAAATAACTTTTAACCAGTATTTATTATAAACTTTTTGAGAATTTGAGCAACTTGTGTAAACTGTTTTTGAAGCTTCACTGGTTTATTGTTCAAATGAGTGTTGACCAAGATTGTTACTGTGTTGTCATCAGTTTTCTGTTCATTGGATATCTTAACATATTTATAGAAGTTTTTTATGTTTTGGTGCAAGCTTTTTGACTGATCTAATATTGATGGATAATTGTGGCATCATTCCTCCTTTCTCTTTCAGCCATCCCCATGAAAAGAATTAAAAAATGCTCCCTATATTTAATTAATTTAAAAGAATAATTTACTTTGCACATGAAATTAATGTTAAAAATGCCATAAACCTTGGTAATTGACACCAACAAGTAGTTTAAAAAGACACGTGAGCAAACACTAGGACATACAGTGGACCCCTGCCTTACGAATGCATCGCATTACGTTAAATTTGCCATACGAAGCATTTGAACGCAAAAATTTTGTCTCGCTTCACGATAAAAAGCTCACCTCATGTGATTCGTCCGGGACGCGTCCCATGTGTGGCCTCAGGGCCAGTGTTTACAAGCCAGCCAGTGAGGTCGCATCCACGCATACATTCGGTACATTTCACCTTATCCCAGTGTTTTTTGTGCTTGTAATTGCAAAATAAGTCACCAAGAAAGCTTCTAGTGCCAACCCTATGGTAAAAAGGGTGAGAATTAGTATGGAAATTAAGAAAGATTTTGAAGGGTTTGGGGCTAACTCTGAGAAGCCTATGCCAGTTGTAGAATCCATTGTGCCTACTTCAGAGATTAAGGAAATGTGTGCAAAGTGGGTTGAAGTGCAAACCTTTATGGATGAAAATCACCCTAACACAGCTATTGCAAGCCGTGCTGGTTACTATTACAATGACAATGTTGTGGTCCATTTTAGGGAAATCTTAAAGGAATGGGAGGTACAGACCTTTATGGACAGATATGTTGTGCGACAGAGGTCCAGTGACTCTCAAGCTGGTCCTAGTGGCATTAAAAGAAGAAGGGAAGTAACCCCGGAAAAGGACTTGCTACCTCAAGTCCTAATGGAAGGGGATTCCTCCTCTAAACAATAACTTCCACACTCTCCCCTCCTCCCATCCCATCAATCATCACCAGATCTTCAATAAAGGTAAGTGTCATGTAGTATTCTATTCTTAGTAGAGTAGTAATTGTGCACGGATTAATTTGATTTCCATTATTTCTTATGGAGAAAATTAATTCACCTTACGATAATTTCAGCTTACGATGAGCTCTCAGGAACGGATTAATATCATAAGGCGGGGGTCCACTGTATTTATTAGAAAACATTTCGATCCTGGGACTTTCATCACTTGTAGGCCCCAGGATCAAAACGTTTTCTAATATGTCTTGGTGTTTGCTAGTGTGTTTTTTAAAACCACATGTTAAGTCATTCATGGCTTGCAACTAGAATGATATTTAACTACTTTATCAGATTATTAGATCATTTTCATTAAGGTTCATTATACTGTATACTGATGTGTGAGGCTGATGATAATTTCAGAAAAACTTTTGTACCTTCACCAAATGTTTCATGATTGTTTGAGGTGTAACTACATTTTTCAGTCAGTTAAGACAGTGAACTGAGCTGCCATATGTAAGGATGTGATTCACAGATAACTCATACTTAAGAGAGGGGAAACTAATGATGATTGTCTGACTTGGACTATTAATAGTGTGACTTGTTAGTGGTCCCAGTCAAACCAAAAATGTTGTCATTACTTTCCTCTTTCTTAGGTGTGGGTTATTTGCATATTGTTCTGGCCACAGTATTGTGGATTTCTTTTATTCTCTAAGGTTACAATTCATTTGATCATCCTCTTACATCAATTTGATTATTCTTTTAATCTTAGTCTCATATGTGCATATTGCAAAAATCTGTTGTAGATCAAAGGTATTATTGTATATAAGTTGAATATCCCTTATCCAAAATTCTTGGGGCAGGAAGTGTCTCAGATTCTGGAAATTTTTGGATTTTAGAATATAACGAGAGCTTGGGGATGGGACGTGAGTCTAAACACGAAATCCACTTATGTTTCATATACAGCTTATGCACATAGCCTGAAGGGAGTTTTATACAACATTTTTAAAAGAAATAGCACAGCAGCATTTGCAGAATACATGTAACAGCTGTTAAATAATCAACAACAAACAACAGTAGACTTTCATTCTCCACCTATGATGCCTTGTTTTGATTAAAAGGCTACTGTGCACAGTACTTTTTCTTATCACTGTTACCCATTGGGTTATCTTCAATATCTTTGCACCATAGAGCAGAGAATTAGCACAGTACGCATGGTAATCACAATCAGTAATGCAGGTAGGTCTGTCGGTGATGACTGTTGATAGCAATCTGTCACCAACAAAGCATCAAAGCCCAACCCAGGGTATGTGAGGTTCATGTTGCAATTGTCCGGGTACACAGAGATCTACGCAATCCCTGGGAAGCTCCCCAGAACTGATTGGAGTTTTCCATTTGTGGCGTAATGTCGACACTCGATAAAGTTTCGGATTTTGGGGCTTTTTGGATAAGGGATTCTCAACTTGTATCTAGTAACAGAATAGTTACACTACATATTACAACATATTATTTCTTTAAAGATTCATCTTTGAAATTAGTTATTAGTATTTGAATATTTATTTTTTTAAGTACAATATAAAAATGTTATTTAGTGTTAATTATAATGATACTTAAAAATTATTGCATTTACAGTATTACATTATACACCAGTCCTTGATTCTAGATATTAAAACTACCAGTATTTTTTTGGTAATCTCATAAAATATATAATTGAACAATTTGTTGAATGAATAATTGTATAAAAATTCATATTTTTTTGTACTGAACTTTTCTGACTTCTTTCACTGTTGCTTACAGTATTCTATTTTTTCCAGATCCTGAATCAATAGGTTTAAGTAGGAATGATGTTTGATATGTGTGCACTGATGAAGCTACAGTAGGATCATTCTTCACAGATAACTTTCTCTACATGCTTTATGTCAT